GGGGGAGAGGCTCATTTAAGACAAGGAAGGAGAAATATTTTAGATTCCTTCTGAGGCATATTAGAAAAAATAGACAACCTAAACATTTCAGTAATAAAAAATTCTCTGGATTCTTTAAAAGAATCTGACTAAACTCTAACTGCGTTTTTAATTAGAGCAAAAGAAATACATAATGGGCCTGTTGCAAACTTTTGCCAGAGCAAAAATAAGTTTTGTTCCTATCAGTGAAAGTCTCAAAAATCACAATGAGCGCATTGGCAAAGTTTGAAATACACTCCTAACTTCACAATCTGCGTAAAAAATTTGCATTTTTTTGAGCTTCCCATTTCCAAAAATGATACTATGGAGTGGAGAGTCGTTCCATTCAACCCTTTTGCAATAGCAGTACCCAACATAGCCGACGCTTCCGCGCACAAATCGCAATCCAGAGCACAAGGTCAACCAAAGTGGGTTTTTATCAACGTGAATGTAAACCTGTTGGGTTGTTAACACATTGTTAGAATCTCGTTCAAGAACATTTGTTTTGGCGGATTGGTGTCAGCCATGTTGAATATTGTGTAGTATCCTAGTGCACAGGGGTTGATTAGAACGACACCTCTAGCGAAATATTCACCTGTGCCATAGTATCGTTTTTGAAGCGGGAAGCTCAAAAAACCACAGATTTTTTACGCAGATTGTGAAGTTCAGACAAACCACTAACTTTCAACTGCAACAACTGCAACTTTGCATTTCAAACTTTGCTAACTTTTGCGCTCATTGTGATTTTTGAGACATTTACTGATAGAAACAACTATTATTTTTGCTCTAGCAAAAGTTTGCAACAGGCCCATTGCAGAGGTGTATGCACAGCTATGATACGAAGTTTCACATTGAAATAGACATTTTGTGGGCTGTAAGAAGTTCACTTTCTATGCAATATCTCTGAAAGATGTATCTTCAATTTTGCTTCATTGGTATCATAAGCAAGTAGCAAAAATTTGTAGTGAATCAATGATCATGATTACTTATATTTATAAAAATAAAGCAAGTGAATGAAACATTCGATTCTCGACAGGAAGTGGTAGATAAATTGATAGTAACATACCTGTGCTTCATCATTAAAATTTAAACTTTTACAATTTTCACTGGCTGTTCCCAGAAGAGAGCAAGACAGTCGGAATATTTCAAATAACTGGGTATCACGGAATGATGAAGCAATTTTTCTGTGTTTGGTTAACGATCTGTTGGCATCAGCCTCTGATATTTGGTTCATTTCAGAGGTCAGCTGTGACAAGAGCTGGACACCTATCATACAATGTTCCACAGATCCCTGAGGGCAAAAAAAAAAGGTCACGTCAGTAACAAAATGCATATCCCTTGATTGGTTGTATGACCAACAAGACACCCGATTTTTCCTGAGAAGTACTTCACAGAGTGTAGATTGGCCAATCGAGCACTTTCTGCACCCCTGACATTAATTAAAAAGTTCAATTATAAAGAGCAAGAAAGCTTATGAATGCCAGAAGTAGCTATGCAGAAGTAAGTCTAAGGGCTATTCCTGTCAAATCGGGTCTCAACTGCTAGTTGACGAACTACCAGTTAAAGGTAACTTCCAGTTCTACCTGAAGGAGAGTCTTGTCACTGATTTTCAACCTCTAGTTACTGAACAAAGACTACTTGCCAAATAGTGCATTAACATGATTTGTTCCCTCATATCCTACATCAGGTCGTACCTAATGTCTGGGAACCCTTGCCGAAAATTCAATTGACAGTAGAATGAGACGACGGAACAACCCTTGCAAAGAGGAGGGTGCGGGTGGCGCGGTCCACAACCCGAGCCCAGGTAGTTAAATCAGGCTCTTTGTGAACTAGTGAAACGCGAAGAACCGGAACGAATGTTTTGTCTGAAGTCCTAGTTGAAACCTAACAGGCAGAAAAAGCACCAGTTGAAAAGCAGCCCGTTAACAGCCTCTCAACCAGTAGTTGTAAACTGACAAGACACACCAACCTCTAGTTGGACCTTAACAGACAGTCAACTACTAGTTAAATGATTTGACAGGAATGTCCCTAAATCTTGACCACATAAATAAACACTAGATGAAACAAAACATATAAATCACTAACATAATTATTGATAAGGGATAGAAACAATTTTAAAGTCAAACATTGACTACGGTGAGGCTAAAAATTGTAAAAAAAAGATGAACGTACCTGTAGATACTTGCTAACATCATTCACAACATTTCGAAAAATGTACACATCCTTCTCACAATCAAACCAACCAAGTTTAGTGATTCTGGCGAACAAAGTGACGAGAGCTTGAATGACAAAACTGGGCAACTTCAACCGAGTGGCTAAGTAGTTCAACACATAATTACCTGAAAAGTAAACAGTATAAAGTGAGAGTTAAAAGAGCTGTTCAGCAATTTGCCCTGCAATCAAAATGGTTATACAATTATTCTTAGAATGGATCTGTCAGGATAGTTAAAAATCATTTTCTGACAACTTTAGATTTTAGAACAACACTAATTCATTCTGAATACTGTCCTGCGGTGCAAAAAATGTCCAATTTTACAATCCACAGATTGTGACAAACATGAAGCTAATTTTGGGTTAGGTGGTAATTATCGAAATTGAAAACTTATTTTTCCTACTTCAGACGTTTAAAAAGTGATCAAGTCACACAACTGTATCAAGAAATTAGGTATTTTACCATCGATAAAATCAAACATTATATCGAAGGGGGGGGGGGGGCAGATCTAAAATTTGGCCAAACGGTAAAAATCCAAATCCTGGCAGACAGGTGCCACTTTTTGAGTTAATGCACCCCTGACTCTGTCCAAACATCAGGTTAGGAATGCATTAGGATGCAACATCAACTTCATCCATTGACAAGGCATACGCTAAGATTTCTCCCGAGTTAGTTTTTCTAAAGATGTATTCTCATACAGAGAGAGGCAATAATATTATATATGCAAATCACTGATTAAAAAATCCAGGGCGGATGAAACCATGATACACTCCAACCCAAAGGATTACGTCAATTACCTCTGATTTCCTATAAAAAACTTTTGTTCAGGACGATGAGGAGAGTGACATGTTCAAGTCTCATTGAATATGACAGAATGACAGTTACCACGAGAGTTTCACCATCTCTTTTCAGAACATCATTCAGGCGGATTAAATTCTAATACAGCGATAAAAATCCTCTTTGAAGTTGATATTTTTAAAAAGTAGAGGTTAAAGAATTTTTACTGACTTAACCTGCATGATCCTTCACTAAATTAACATTTTTCAATACGGTTTTTCCAGGAACATTGAAATGAGTAGCTAAGAAATGGACCACTAGATAAGGTACCAATATAAGCTTTCTGATACAAGTTATGTAATCAGAATTTTATGTAGACCACGATTCTTGCATCGGAAATTACTGAAATCAACTCAACATCAACTGAATCAACTTAACGTTTTCATTTTACATTGTTAAGGAAATTTTGAATTGCCTGGTCACGAGAAACTCAATTCTTTACAAGCGTCAAATTGCGCCTAGCAACAGTTTTGGCAGGCTCCTCAATCGAGCATTGTTCCTTTCTCACCCTTTATTGTTCAATATGTTAACAATTTGCTTCAGCTGAGCCAAAGCGTCAAGATTGAGGCTCTGCATTTTCATATCGCAGAGATTGTCATGGTAAAGTTTAGTGTGCGTTTTGACTGACGTTGACTATTGTGTTTTCATGAGCGAGAGGTTTGAATTCACGCATCATGAAACATTAAATATCTTAGTTAGGAGCTACTTACAGGAATTTTCGTTGCCCAAATCGTGTTCTAAGTGAAATTTTGGATAGGAAACATGTATTAGAATGCTTAACTTTGTACCTCGTCTAGTGGTCCATTATGTTTCTTGTAATTCTGCATTATTGCATTGATTAAGTCAAAGAATTATATGTGCACCACCCTTTCATGGACCATAAAGATTTCTTAAAAAGAATAGTGCCCAAATGAACATCATGATTGAAATCATTACTATAAAATCTCCAAGTTTCTCCAATATTGAACCCTTTGCAAGTTTTTTACAGAATCTATCAATTTCAAAAATAATTTTAATTTTATGACATCAAAATCGATGGCAGATTTAATATACTGCCATTCATAGACTTGACTAAATTCTTTGCATTCATTGAAAGTGTTGACTCTTGTTTTTTTCCAGCTAAAGAGACACACAGTTCCATAAAAATGCATACATATCCCAAAACCTGTTCTTTTTCATTAAAAGCGTATTGTAAATGCCAACTTTCCCTCAGACTCCACCCTATTCAAACTACCGTGAACTTACGTATGTCAGCCCGTTGTTGAAGACTGAGACCCTGTGCTGTGCGAGAGACGAGTTTCGTTAAAGTTGTAGCTGCGAGTAGCTGCGCGTAAGAGGAATCAGCCCGATCTAAGAGCAACTGGCACTTTGCTAATGTATCTGGTGCATTCTGAAATCCAACGAGGGCTTTCTCTGCTTCAATTCTTTCATTTGGATTTTGTGATTCATAAAGCTGTTTGCACAACAGCTCCAGCTGCCGTACCTCCTGCAAAGAAGAAAAAATTGAAATTAATTGTTAAACGAGTCTTAAACTGAAATAAAAGTGCTTCCGCATGCTGTAACAGCATTGCTTTTTTTCATTTCTCAACTGTAGGAATACAGCCTTCAATTTTAAAATTTCTAATCAACCAAATTTTGGAGGCTCATTGCAGCAGGAAATACTAAAAATAACTTTCCTTTTTTGCACAGCTACACACAATAGCTTTATATGATAACACAGTTCATCTTTGATTGCGTCAGATGTTGGACTAAACTGCTAGAGTGACTAATATTGCAACTTTTTAATAGATTTTTTTAATCATCAGCAGCAGAGAAGCTAAGGCATGAAATAGTATATTAACTGCAACAATGCGCATCTCGTTTGCCATGTTTCAAAACCTCCACTCCCATTTTTATTTTACCGAAGGTGAACAAGTCAACACTGTTGATTGAAAATTTCAGGAAATATGCTTTGCAAAGTGAAGAAAAATTCGGAGAGTTTTCAAGAAATGAAGCAGGGCATTTTCCAAGTTAAAATAAATTTATGATAGGAGGTCAGCAACGTCCCAAACCAAGACAAGTTGCAGTTTCACTGGCAATATAAAATTGTTAAGCAGTATTACTGACCTTCATGAAAATGTTTAAATTTTCTTACGTCAAATTAATATCTATACTCATAATTGTAAAAGTTTGAGATATTGCATACTTCAAACACAAAGCATTCCTGAGATCTTTCATGAACTGTCCTTTTTTGTTAACCCATTTTTTGTTGTTTTAACCTGCAGTCGAAACTTGGATAATTTTTAAAAGTAGCTTGTATTGTAGCTGTCTGAAATTGTCATAACTATGAATGAATGAGCCTCTCACGTATATATTACCACAGCTTACCTAAAATTATAGGATGGGTTCCACCAATTAACTACATGAATGTATAATACAAATGTTGTCTTACAAAAATTAGCTTATATTTCTGAGCACTTGTCATACATTTGATTGGTTTATCACTACAAGAATCTAATTGATAATTTTAGAGAAAAATGTTAATGTAGACAGATAATACTGTTAAGTGTGAGGCTTGTATGCTGGTAGAGTATGCCTCAATTGGGAAAAGGGTACTGATTTTAAATAGGTTGGGAGCAACTAATCAAAGAAATTTTAACTTATTTTAACTCAGAAACTGCCTAGCCATGCATTAACATCGACAAAGTTTTTGGAACTTTACAAAAAAATTGGCTGACACATTTTGAACTTCAAAGTGAAGGCAAACCTACATAAATGAGGCTTGCAAATGATGGGCAAGCTAAGTAATGCTCTCGAAATATACTTAGCACAACATCAGAGGGAGGTGGATTACATCTAATTAGTGATAAAATCAAAGACCCTTCTAATTTGGTTGGATAACTGATTCAAGTAAAAAATTATGCGATGAACAAATACTCAAAAACGTAAATAATTTGCCTACAGAATGACACTTCAAAATTCAACAAATTCATTTTCAATTTAGGATAAGCTCCAATAGACCGAGAGTGAAACAGTGAATTAATAGAATTTGTCATAAAATTTAGCTAGACTTTCTTCACTATGTGCTATGCACAAGAAACTTAATAGAAGAATTGTACGATAGCGATTACATGGAAGGAACATGAGCTTGCTTTAAAATAGAAATTTATCTCATTGTTGAATTTTATTCAATTTAACAATACTAATTATTTTCTTGAGTCAGGGTTTATTATTATTTATTAGATTCAAAATCAGTTTTGATCCTCAGGCAACGAGGTATCCAAGGTAGATGTGTGTGTTAGAAAAAAAAATGTCAGTCTGATAGTCTGACCAAAACAGAGTGAACAACACTGTTTGATCTGAAGTAAGATAAAAGCTGTTTTTCTCGTCTGGCTTGTGGAGAAAAGATGTACTTTATCCAACAAAGTAGCAGATAAGAGCATGAACAAGTTCTGTGTTTTAGACATTCCGTGAAAAAAGACAGACAACTGAACATTTTAAAAAAACTATAGTGAGCTATTTGCTAGCTGCCACATCCAAACCATGGTTATGAATACTCAATGCCAGCCTAACAGCTTTTCGTCCATTCACACGAGCTAATGTCCCAAGTTCGTCATCTCAAGATTAACAACATAAGCTTTGGCGCGTTCTAATACTGTTGAACTAAAATATGCGTTTCAAGAGAGACTTTGTGACTGATATGAGAGATGTTCGTGAGAGAAAAAATCCTTAAGCTTAAAGGGCTTAAAAATAGGGGCTCATCAAAAAGAGACAGTATACATTTTCTGGCTGAACATTAGTTGAGGCTGATTCCGTTGAGGACAGTAAGTACAGTCACAATGGTTTGCAAAATGAAAAAGCTAGAGAAAAATAACGGTGGCCTGGACTGAGGAGGACTAGAGAAAAGAAGATTGATGATCCTTAACAAATGAGAAAAGGACAGCGAAAGCGATAAATAGTTGAGAAAAATGATGAAGATGCGATATTGGTTGGGGAAGACCTTACAGATAGCTGGACTTCAAGACTCCAGGGAAGGCCATGCTTCATTGGGACGCATTCAATTATACCAACTCATATATCCCGAAAGAAGCTCTGGGATAGTATGGGGACATTTTATATCAATGTCAGATTAACATTAAAAGACCTGCAATGTAATCAGTTCGGGTATCGGCGGGGCTGTACGGTCTCAACGCGATGACAACAGAGAGAGGAGACAAGAGAGTGATATGGATTGATTAGCGAAAGTGAAGCTGGTGGCGATGATTTTGTATTATAGATGAAAGCGGTCCAGAGGAAATTACAGCTAATACGTGGAAAATAATAAAACTTACTTGCTCCTCCGCCATTTCAATCAATTTATTATTAAGAATACAAGCTCGCAATCATACGCACGCACACCACTTACACTTACACTCACACAAGCTCACCCGATGTAAACACACCACACCACCACCAGCGATGCTTCTCAAGGCGCATGCGCTGAAGTACGCTCCCTGATTGGTCCATTACTGAAATTGTAAACAAACTTTTTTGGCCATTTGCATTTTATCTACAGTGCGCAAAATATGAAAAATTTGAGGTTAAGTGATTAGGATTATCAATCAATGGATCAATTTTAAATTCAAGATTCATCTTCTTTCAGACAATGTTCATTTTTGCCCAAGTAGTTTAAGAAAATTTCATCTTAAATAGCCGTGCATCTTTGTTGTAAATACAATAATGGTTCATGTGAGTCTCCGCAATTTCTGTTCGATAACTCCCAAGTTTCGAGATTCCTTCAAACTGCCTAACAACAATGTTCTTCGATGGTTTCCAGGGCACATGAATAGAGGTATCTGTAACATTATTTGACTACTTTTTTCTTTGCTCCTCTTAAATGTCGACGGTGTAAGTCGGCAATCTCATAACTTCGGTTTGCGACGTCGCAGACTTCCTATCATACTTTATTTTTCAGACGGAAAACTACTCAACGGCAATTCTTTAAAACTGCCGTGATTTTTCTTCTCTGTGCAAAGAAAATTCTGCAAAAATCTCAAGCGATGATGTCAATTTATTTTCCTTTAAAAAAATAATTTAGAGACGGAGATTTTCAGACATCGCAAACGAGTTATGTGATTGCCGACTTACACTGTCGATATTGATGGTGAAACTGCAGAAATGCTTATCGCGGTGCAAGTTCCATAAAAGCTTCGGTGATTTTCTTCTCATCGTGAAGAGTACTTTGTAAAATTTCAAACCATGGTGTTGGCTTGGCCTCTTTTTAAAAAAATATACTAGAAGCAGAACTTTTGAAACTCGCAATCAAGAAACGTATTTCTGTAGTTTCACTGTTGATATTCTTCCAAGCATTGCACGTACAAATTCGCTGTCAAAGTGGCGGATAGAGCAAATGCTTTTTTGAAGCTATACAATACCAAAGAAAAACAAAATAATACCTTTTCACTATCAGAAGAAAAATGAGGTCCTTGGACAAGTTTCTAGACATTAAGAAGTTCACGCTGCCATTAACTTTGCCACAAAACTTTGGGGAGCTGAATCGTATTGCTTTGTGGTAACTTTGCAGTATTTGCTATTGAGAAGGAATGAATTGGTTCAGATGAAGCTCTTAGAGCTCCAGAAGGCCCACAGGAGAAATACACTTAGAAGAACAAGACGAATAAGCTAAATTTTAAAAAAATAAACTAGAAGGGTGGTTTCACGATAACTGGAATAGTTTTGTCGCCGTAACAGACAACACATTTTTCGGTCATATTTTTAGCAGTAACGATAATCACTCAAATTTTTTTGCATTAATCTACGCAAGGTTACGTGTAATAACGCTTTTCAACAATTTATCGCTCTACTTTTCAATTTTAATATACAAATGGCCGAAAATGTGCTGTCTGTTACACTGACTTTTTACTGCGTAATAGACAGCACATAAATCAGCATCGGAATTTACATAATATTAATTGAGAAGCAGAGCATAAATCATTAGAAAGCGTTATAGTACGTAACCCTTTGAAGATTAATGCGAAAAAATTCCAGTGATCATCATTACTTCTAAAAATATGACGGAAAAATGTGTTGACTGTTATGGCGACAAAACTATTCCAGTTATCGTGAAACCACCCAGAAGCAGTTCAAGTTAATCAAAGAGTACAGACCTCCGAGAGAGCATCAGCACCACATTTAGTGAAAAGTGAGACACATAAGAATGAGGAGGCGATTTTACCTCCTTTTCATGTGGATAAATTTTGTCTTCTGTTGTCACATCTGTATTCCTCTTCTGGAGGTCCTCAGGAACTGAAAATACTTAGTTTGATTGGAATTCGTCCATACCTATCCACAAAAATTGCGTAAACTGCAAATTTTTATTGCCGTGTTGTAGGTCACTTCATCGAGCAAGTTAACCATAACCATGTCACATTTGCTCTTATTTTCATGATTTATTTTGATATTTTCATAGATGGATTATCATTTTTGAAAAATAATTTGCAATTTAAAATTAATTATTCCCTTCTGTTTCAGGTTTGAAAGACATGGAGAATAAGCTGAGGAGTGTTGACTGTATTATAGAAGTTCATGATGCAAGAGTATCCTTTTTACATCCTATCACTGTTACTTATGCTGTAGGGTTACGTACACAGATGTACAATGTAGAAACTGCCTCAAATCGGCATGTACTTATCCTAGAAGTTGTTAATTTGCTTAGCACTGTGGTTTCCCTAGGTAAGGCCCTCATTGGCCATTCATAAATATTGTCATGCTAAAAATGCCATTTTCTGAACTCCCCTGCCGCCCTGCTACAATATGCAGGCCTGAACCTCCTAGTTAATGAAGTTGAAGCAGCCTGCTTTCATAGGCGAACCTAGGTCGTTTTGCTAGGGAGGGCTTAGCCCTCACCACTGGGGGGTATGGAATACCCTTCAGGCTAGAGGGGGGTCTAGGGGAAAATTTTTGAAATTTGAACTCTATTTGTACGTAGGTATTTTGATGCTTCCATGATGCAGATTCTCCATTGATTTTTGTCGAAAAATTATGTTTGTTTTTACTTTCAGCAAAGAATACTTTCGAATTGTTGCATTAAATAAATCTGGAAAATTTTTGAAATTTTAACTGTACTTGGACACATTTTGAGGCCTCCATGATGACAATTTTAGAAAATACCAAGTGAATGAACAAAGTGTCCTCAATTTAGACCCTACATTAAGAGAGATAATCATCCTCGACAAAGGTCTTTTTCCACCATCCAGAATTTCTGGGGGGGGGGGAGGGGCAGATAATACTACTTTCAATTCAAGGGGAGGTCAGGCCTACGTACGTCACTGCCTGCTTTTTATCACTCATCATCAAAATTTCTGGAGTCTATGAACAAAGAACACTTTGATAACTGTGGAGAAATTACTCCGAATCATTTCATAACGGTTTGCTAAATAGGTACCTCTCACCTCAGTGTAATGTACAGCAACATGAGAACATATCAACAGTGAAACTACCAAACCACACATCTAAGTTTGCGACATGGCAGATCTCCTGTCGTACTTTATTTTTTAAAAGGAAAATTATTCAACCACAATTCTTTAAAACTTCCGTGACTTTTCTTATCTGTGAGAACTTCAAAGAGTGATGTTGATTTATTCTCCTTCAAAAAAATAAAATGGGATCAGAGATTATAAAACACTGCGAACAAGTTACATGAAGTTTTGGAGTTTCACTGTTGATATTCCCCTTTCTTACTCCTGTGTTTTGCAATCTAGGAGTCACCTCTGAATTATTATGTTGTGATTTCCCTTTAATTATGGAAGCATTTGTTTTCCGTTCTTGGAAAATCTCCTTGGAGCAAGATTGACTGATTTTCCTAAACTTTGTGTCCAGATACCTCTTTCAGGCCGAAATCCTCAGTTTAAAAATACTGTGTGTGGAATAAAACCTCATATACTAATCCTCAACAAAACGGATTTGATAGACAATAAGAAACTGCCAGTTATTGAAAAAGTAGTCAAGAAAGAAGGTGGTGCCAATGATGTGATTTTTACAAACTGTAGAGATGAAAAATGTAAAGGTGTTCAGAAGGTATTCCCACCCACCCTTAACCTAATTTTTCCCAAATTAATGTAGTAGGACAGCATGCTTAATTTCGAAAGCAGTGCCCAAAGAAGTTGGATCATCTAGAAACAATAAGGGGAAAAAATTAAGGACAACAAATATTATACTTCAGACCATCTCTGAAAGCGAAAAGATTACAACAGGAAAATCTTATAGGAATGCCAAGGTCCTCCGCCTGATGTAACCACAGAATACATTTACTCAGAACTTAAGAATCCGAAAGGGCTGAACTAGAAAGCTTTTCTCTGAAACAACTAATTTACATAAGTGTGCACTTTTTTATATACTTGATGCTTGTTACCTACCTCACAGCAGAAAATTTTAACCCCTCCCCTCTAAAAAAAAAAAAAAAAAAAAAAAAAAAAAAAAAAAGTTGATTAGGCTTAAGGGGTTTTTTACCTTTGGAATGCAAAATCGCTCTCAGCTGTCCAAAAATTAAACAAACAAGTTTGAAATATGTAGTAATAAGAAGCAAAGAATAACTGAATTTGCTTTATTAAAGTGTATTCGCTCAAAGGCTATCATCTGAGCGTACACCCTAATGATTGCCGAATAATAATTATACTTCCCATGATAGTCCTGGCGGAAAAAAGAAAAATAATTGCAGTAAATATTATATTTTTTACCTAGGTAATTTAAAATTTTATTTTTCTTCCATATTGTTTTTTTTTTTCAAACTTATCACTCTCAAATTGCAGGTCCTTCCAACTGTTATGCAATTAATTCGTAATTCAACTCGTTATAATCGGGCGGAAGTGAAAGAATTTTCCCTCATGGTCATTGGAGTTCCAAATGTAGGAAAGTCAACCTTTCTAAATCACATCAGAAAGTCGAACATAAAAAAAGGTAATTTGTTTGTTTTGTTTCGCACAAATAACACCAATGTTCATTTGCACCTAAAATCGGTCCATAAGAAATCTTGAAGCAGAACATATTAAAATGCATAGCTCTACTTGGGCTGCCACAAAGTAGCAGATTTGTTTAGGACCATCCTCCTTGAATAAAATGTTATCACCTTTATTTTTTCTTAGTTTTTTTCTTTAATTTCACCTGTGTGTATCTTAGTTGAGGAGGTACAAAATAGGTAAACCTAATATCTGGACAGCCCTTGTATTCAATAATTTCTGCCTTATTTTTTGATTGATACTTTCAATGAATTTCTTTTACATTAATAGTAATAATCTCTTTATTTCAGGTGGTGGAGCAAAAACAGGTGCAAAAGCAGGAATCACGCGTTCCGTCTCAAATCGGATAAAAGTCTCAACTGATCCATTAGTTTATGTGTTTGATACCCCTGGAATATGGACTCCATATATCCCAGACATTGAGACCGGGATGAAACTTGCCTTATGCGGTTTGTTCATTTGGTTTTTAACTAACAGATACTGTAGTACATAATAAACTTTGTTTAGTAGAACAATGGAATTATTTGCTAGGTACTGTGAATTAGTTGATGGATCACACAATTTTCAAATTTGAGTTCGGTTAAACTTGGCTGGGCTGGTTCCCAGTTATCTGTCTTGAAAATTATTTAGCTTTATCAGGAAGTATTGGAAATAGATTCTTACGGCAAACAACTGTCAAATTTAGAGGGAACTGAATAAATATTGCTTGTTTTCCGTGAAAAACGCTTGTAAATTGAAAGTAAGCATGTAGTTCATCTGAGGAATTCCTTGTCTATTTTTGGTATTTAATTTTTAATTTTCACATCTTTGAAAATGCTCTACTTGAAGGGAAATTGATTAAAATATTCAAAAATCCTTTAACTCCGGAATTGTGTGTCTGTCTATATTAAAGCATATCGACGGTGAAAGTCGGCAATCACATAACTCGTTTGCGGTGTCTGAAAATCTCCGCCTCTGCGTCATTTATTTAAAGGAGAACAAATTGCTATTATTTCTTGAAGTTTTTGCAGAATTTTCTTCGCATTGAGAAGAAAAATCAGGACAGAGTTAAAGAATTGCCGTTGAGTAGTTTTCCATTTAAAAAATAAAGTATGACAGGAAGTCTGCGACGTCGCAAACCGAGTTATGTGATTGCCGACTTTCACCGTCGATATCTTCTTCTTATGAATAAAATTGCTTGTTCCTCTTTTATCAATACATATTTGGGTGAAAGAATTGGGATTTTTACTTAGCTGGTTTAAAAAAAAAAGTACTCTGCTTCTGTCATTTCTTTCTTTATCATATTAGAGAGATTAAGTCCTAAGCTATCAATTAAGAGCAGACCAAGATCGTCTCATTTGCTAGAAAATTTAAGAAGTCATGACATTTGCAGTGAGGGGTACTCTTTCTTTGTGAAAATCAGAATACTCATAGTGTCACTGTATGACACAACATTAAATAGCCAGTATTCAACCAAAACGTGAAAGCTGTAACATTGCTCCAAGTAATAATTTGTCGGAAGTTTTTCCTATTTCACTCCTTTTGACTCTTTCAGTCTAAAGCAAAGATGAACTTTTGGCTTAACCAAGCACTTCATTCTGGTGTCTTTTTTTTCTTTTTTGTACATTAATCTTCAAATTGACATATACTTAGATGTTACGATTATTGATGAAATTATGGTGTTAAGATGATCAGATGATTAATGAATACCTATAATTATGCTCTTCAAAAGTTCAGTAACCTACAGTCTTATCTTTAAAAAATGCTGAGCCCACATTATGTTTAAAATAAAACTCTAAACTGTTTCAGAAACCACACAAGATCACTTGGTTCAATTTTTAAACATGGCTGACTATTTACTATACTGGTTTAATAAGAATAAGCAATTTAGGTTGGTATCTTTTTTAACATATTATTTAAACTGTCGCTGTCTTCATTTTTGTACTATTTTACCTTGTAAAGACAACAAAACGGAGCTTAATGCAACTGGAACCTCTAAAAGTTTACTATCAGTTCTGTTGGTCCCATTTGCTCTTAAAGAAAAAAAGGCAGCATCAGTGGCGATTCTTGAAAGTTGACAAGACTGGCCTTCGCTCATTGAATTGAATGGGAAACAATCTGTGATTTATTATGAAGTTAAATAGAAGGAAAACTTGAAAATAATTGGTTGTGCCAACTATTGAGAATAGCCACTGGGAATTATAGTATCCTTATGAAAGATTTAAATTATGTAGATCAACAGGAATGATTCAACCAGAAACAGTCTAATTGCATTTACGTTTTTTCTTTCAAGTTTTTTTTTTTTTTTTTTTTTTTTTTTTTTTTTTTTTTTTTTTTTTTTTAAATTAATTACAAAGAACTGAGCTACTAAACGCCTTTTAACTGTGAGTGAAAAAAATATGTTTACCCACAAAATGTCAAGTTTCAGTATTGCTTGGTTTCATGCTTGAAAAATGAAACATCAGAAAAAATTGGGCAACATCTCAAGTAGTTAGGCTAATTTTGATTGGATCCATGGGTCTCTATCATCACTGAACCCTCAATTGGTCATATCTATGCTGAAAGGAACCATGCAAAAATATATTAAATTCAAAAGAACCCCAAAACACACAAAAGTTTATGCTCTTAGTTCCTTTTTATTTAATTCATTTCTACATACATAGCTCCTTTTAGCATAAAATACGTCCAATTCTATTTTATCACCTGGCTGAATTAACCCATAGGTAAAGACCTTTTCTCTGAGTTCTTTTGCTCTCACCCTTGATTTAGTCTTCCCTATTTCAGTTGTCTAATCGATAATAATCCTTGCAAAGTTTCATTGATATCGAATTTTTTGAAATTTTGAGAATTTTGAAATTTTTGAATTTTTTGAGTTCAATTTTAGCGCAGTGGAATAACTGGAGAAGGGCTGAGAAATTCCTAACATTGAAATCCATTAGAGAGAGATGGAAAGAGATTTTACATGAAATTGAGTGTGTCTTTTGTACTATTGGATGCCACGCCTGAAATGACTTGTCTGTATCCACAGTATGTATCAATTTTCTGTCTTCTTAAGCAATAGCTCATTTTTCAGGGAAAACATTGATTTATCAGGAAAACTGCTACCTTATTTCATGAGTAAAATTGAAGGCTTGTCATTAAAAGTTTCTATTGCATGATAGTGGCTAACTGTATGACTGCCCTTAAAATTCTAATCATGCGTTATGTTTTCACTTTTAGGTATTTGCAGACGTTCGATCTTGAAGAGCCCTCTGATGATATACGACTTGTGTTGACTAAGCTTGCCATTACTTGCAAATTTTATTCCAAAAGGAAGTCAATTGAAGATGGTGAGTTTTTTTTTTCTTTCTCCTGTCTAAAGTAACTGTAACGCCTCATTGATTTCTCCTCTAATGCAAGTCGGAATGTGATAAAAAATAGGAGAAGAAATCAAACACGCTCTGAAAGATAAACAAGTTGCTTCAACATGAAGATAACTAACATTTGAACAAATCTGGAAAAGTCGATTTCGATTGAAGGACAGATGTTACAGGACTTTCAACCCCAGATAGACTATACACAATGATTGAAAACCCTGATGCTTCATGAAACAGTAGTTCGAAGTTATGGAATAGAAAATATTACAGGATTTCTTGTCTCCGTGATTGTCATTGAGATGAAAATGTTTGTCAGGAGTGGGAAAAGAATTACACCGTGAGTGTCAATTTACTGAAACTATTAATACATTTTTATACTGCCCTGCAAAACTGATCAGTGAGCACAGTGAATGCAGGAAAAATTTGCACTAATTTACCTTTTGATGTTTTATTCTAAAAGCTTACTCCCTATACGTCAAAAAACGAAGTTATGTAAAAATATTAACAAAAATTAAAGTATCAATGTGTAAGAGACGAGGATAAATCAGGAAACAGTCCAATAAGTGCCATGCAATCGAACTACCATTGAAGTCAGTTTTCTGTGACAGCTTTGGCTTTGTGTATCCCCTTATCAGGGCAGGATAATCCCTTGTGAATTTAATTATTTTTCTATGAATATCTTTTTTCAGGGAAGTACCGCATGGTACCCAACTTAGACATGGCTGCCTCCCATTTTGTGACATCATTCCGCAAGGGAGAACTGGGTAAAATCATACTTGATAGTGACAAATTATTTCCCAATGAAACGAAACCTGAAGTGACCATTGATAGCTCTTTTTCTCATGTTGTTAACTGAAAACTTTTTTGTTCTTCTTTTTTATGTTTAATGTATGTAATATATTTTCGTTACTTTGTACCAAAAAATTTACATTTTTATGAAAACCCAAAGCATTTTCTCTGAATTAAAAAATAACTTTAATTTTTAAAATGTTTCGAGTGCATTTGATCAGACGCTTTTAATACAGTAATGTGCGACTATAAGAGAAAAGAGATTTCCTCTTTTTTTCCATACTCTTGTTTACCTCATAAAGTTTGGTTTTCTACCAACTAGTTCGTGCCTGTTTGGTCCCCAATAATGAAATATTAGTGAGAAAAAAAAGTCTGAGCGTCTTCAATGGAAAATTACAATATCCATTGGAGGAAGACAAAGCTTTCTATAACTGCTAGTTCTCAATTAAATTACTTTGTTGTTTCACTGGACAGTGTCCACAAAGTTTTAATGACCTCCTCCAAGAATTGAAGGTTATAATTTTGTCGCGGAACAAAGGAGGTAAAAAGGCTTAACGGAAAGTAGTGCTTACTTGTGAATATTTCAAGAATGATTAAAAATATGTTTCTAAATCAAAAAGTAAATAAAAGGAGATTTAATTGCATTTAAGAAGAGGGCTTACTTTTGAGTGGTTACGTACTTGGTACGTAGGTAATTATTTTGTCAGAGACATTGTTTTAATTTTAGATATAGATATAATGGACCACTAGACAAGGCACGAATTCAAGCATTCTGATACATGCTTCTTACTCAGAATTTCATGTAGAACACGATTCGCGCAACGAAAATTACTGAAACTAACTCCTGATGAAGATATTAACCTTTTTATTTTACATTGGTTATGCGGATTTTAAACTGCCCGCTGACAAGAAACTCAAAGCTCTACGTGAGTCAAATCGCGCACTACAGCAGTTTCAGCAAGCCTCTTAATTGAGCACTGTTCATTTCCCACCATGTATCGTTCAAATTATAAGCAATTTGCTATAGCTGAGCCAAAGCGTCAAAATTGTCGTTGCCAGATTTTCATATCGCAGAGACTGTCATGATAATATTCAACACGCAATGTGAATCACGTAGAGCATTGAGTTTTATTGCGCGGGTGGTTTGAATTCACGCATCATGAATCATTAAATATCTTTGTAAGGAGTTGACTTCGGTAATTTTTGTTGTGCGCATTGTGTTCTATGTGAAATTTTGGTTAAAAACATGTATCAGAATGCTTAAATTCGTTCCTTGTCTAGTGGTCCATTCACGAAAAAAGATGGTTAAGAGGGTGCAGTAATTTCTCAAGCTTTAGTCTTGTGAGAGATTTTTCAGTCCTGTGGGAAAAATGAGGTACGGTGTTGTCGGGCTGCAACCAAATATAGTCATTTCATGCAGAAACTAGACAAGCTTGACCATCAGAGTTTCAATGGGTCTGTTGCTCGCAAGAGATACAGCCAACTGAATACTTTTTTTGAGCGTTAATTTGCTTGAAAATAACATTGGGCGCTTCAAAAAAATTTCTAAAATCCGCTCCTTACCGTGCAATCTGTGTAGTTTGTAACACGATTTTACAAGTTTCCCGCGTCTGCAGGCAGTTTTTCTCAGTCACTGCTGACCAGGTTTCTACAGGTGTAAGAAAAAACTACTCAAAGTAAACAAACAACTAACTTTTTTTATTGTATAATTTCATTTGTTTTTAATCGTTTGTTCCCTTTTTTTTCTTTATTTTGCAAGAACCAAAGCTTTGAATCAATAGGAAACTTCTGCAAGGAGAGTTTATAACAGTTTCAAAGATTGTTTGTTTATTTAGGTTAGGTCTCTCTTCCGGCAAACCTGACTGCCGGCCACCAAGAAAGACTGCTCGCATACGCTGTAAATTTGAGAAAGCATGTTACAAATTACGTAGATTGCGCTAAGAAAAGGATTTCAAACTTTTTTGATGTAACCAACATGATTGTCGAGTATTCAGTTGTATTCAGAATATCAAGTGTATTCAGTTGGCTGTATCTCTCACTTACAACAGACCCATTGAATGTTAATGATTGATGACTATACCCTTTTCTGCAATATCGGTGAATGGAACTTGATTTTGATGCCAAAAAATATCCAAAAAAATCTTTTATTCAAAGAGAGTGCAGGCACCTGGCACCCTCCTCCTCCTCCTCCCCTATTCCCATACTTGAGCCGCCATTAGGAATGAAATAAGACGTTTTGCGATGAAAACTTGAGGTTAAGCATCCAAAAATTTTCCTAAGTCATCCTACATCTTAAGCTGAGTTTGATCTTTATAGCTTTGATATCATTTTAATATAGGAGACAATTCCCATTAGCTTATAGGAACAGGAGACAGATAATGAAAATGAACCAACAACTTTCATTTTTTTTAAAAAAGAAAAAGCAGGGATTAAAAGAAAAGATTTAAATAACTGGAATAAACTGAACCTTTAATCAAAGGAATCAATTGGAAATAAATCAATTTGTAAAAAATAAAATACATAAATAAAGTCATTTTTCAATAGGTAGTCAAATTAATTACTAGGAATACTCCTAAATACCTGTCGCTAAATTAACTATGTCTACCGTCTTAAAATAGAACAGTTAATTGTAGAAGAGTTTTTGACAGGAATACTGTCAATGATAAAATTTCACTCAAAGAATTTTACTAAGAAACAAAATAGAGTCGTAACCTGAACAAAAAATAAAGCTTTGACTGAAAACAAGACGATTCACGCTATACTTAATTCAAGGACAAAAATGCAATTTTCGTAAATTTGGGCTATAAAAGCTAGGTTAAACAAAATCTTCAACAACTATGTCTTAAATAATATTCTAGTCTCAAGGGGCAGAAAACAACTACTTACGCAAACAAATTCAAAATTGCGGTATCACAAAAAAATTAAATATCATGTAAGTATTTATTGCTTAAAGATGATCTTACTCTGCCCTCAAGTGTAGGATCACAACACTGACATAAAATCTCACTGAACTTAAGGAGGCACATAATCTGTTTTTAATACTATCCCTTCTAAGTAGACTTTTTCCAGGCTTTTGCAGAGTTAGTAGCCGGATAAAAACTTGTTGAAATTTTTAAGATGCTGTTTTAAATCACTGATGAATAGCAGATTTTGGCAATTCCTTGATTTCTCCTTTTTTCTCATAATACCCCACACAAGAAAATTTGCACCAAGAACCAAATTTAGATTAATTCATTTACAAACCTTATGCATGAGACCTTCTTGGTACAGGACATAAATAAAATACCGGGGTAAAAAGGAGTCATTGTGTTCAAAGTTAGGACTAAGAACCCTTTCTTCAGAGGCATAATCCTTCCTCACTCATTAAAGGCCATCACCCTGCAGTTGTAGATTAAATATAAACACTCTTATTTCGAAGGATCTTGTTAAATTTCAAAGGCTTTTCTGCTCTGAAGATGTTGATTCACACTGAATCTTATAAACCATCAACATTCAGTAAAGGCCAAATACAAATGAAAACTGAGTCTTCTCATAGGTGCTGAGCAACCATTTAAAATTCCTCAGAAAAGTAACAAGGATTCAAAGATGTTCTAAACAGTTCGGTCTTAAAAAAATGAAAATCTCCAAGTTCAGATTTAATTCATAATATTTTTTTTTCAATTCAGTAAGTAATTCAATAAAATTATCATCTCAATGGAATATGTATTATCGTCTATTGCTTGGAGAGTATGAGTACCTAATAGTTGAAAGAAATTATTGGTTTTAGGTGTTCTTTTTATAATAGAAAAGGTGTAACATTTCAACAACAGAAAATGACAAATATTGAATAAATGAATTGCTAAAAAAACCTGCTTAAGCGAGATGAATTTTAAGAAGTCAACATGTTTCATCGTAAAGTGATGTACATAAAATTTGCGTTTTCCTCAAAATAAAAATGTGACAAACATTTCAAAGGATTTTTTGATTTGAGGCGAAAAAACTTCCTTGCTAAACATTGGAACGCTTAAAGATTTGGAATGATTTCAATTGCCAAATGTAATTTTAAAAGTTTTGCTCAGATTTATCTCTAACAACAGAATGTGTACTATAACTGCTCAAAATAGAGGTCACACTATTTCTGCGCTCAAAGACGGAGTTACAAGGCTATAAAGTAGAGAACAAGTCACAGTCAGGCAATATGAAAATATTAGATAATTTGGATAGTTCGAACATCAACTACTCAGGGAGATACACCAAATCATTTTTTTATCTTACAAAATGCTGGAAGCTTCATCATTTTGGTTACTTTTTGTTTTTCCTTAAAAATTTCCTTGTTCTGCCACTTTCAATACCACTTCCTGATGGTGACTTAAGGCTTATGATATACCCCGCAATTTGAGAGGTTTCAGAGCTTCACAATTGAAAAAAAGAAGAAAAAGAAGAAGAAGAAAGGAAAAGGTTTGTGTCAAAAAAATTAATATTCTTCTTACGAATGTAAAACAAGTTAGCGAAATAATTGAAGTATTGACAGATAACTGGTCGTCTGTTTCTCAATTCCTATGCAAATACTGATACCAATTGCACATAGTAAATAGGTAAATAAATACATGAAGAAAATTATTAGCAATAAATGAGATGATAAGAAAAATAAAATAAAATCGTTCTCGATGGTAGAAACTTAACTCAAAAGAAAGGAAGCTAGAGAAAAAATTCTGATCACTTTACAAAATACAGTAAGGCAGTCAAGTTTGCCAACAAGATTCATTTACTGAGTGCAGTTTCTCCCTCAACGATTTCGTCTCACAAAAATATTTTAGGCCACTTCGTGAAAAAAATAATGTAGAACCTTACTTTCTGAACGATCCTCATAGTTATGAATGTTGCCTTTCAAGTTCAACGGAAAGGGTACTCATTGAAACCAAGTTTCACAAAAATCTTGGTCATTGAAGGGTGAGAATTATGGAGAGAGGGGGGTGGGGTAAATTTTAGGGAGAAGCTCCGAAAAATCGGTATTGGTGTTCAATCCCTTATCTTATCTTTACGATGATCCGAATCAGCATAGCCCAGCCCCAATTGGTTAGAATGATTGGGAGTTTACTAAGTTAAATTTAAACATTCTGAATAGTTAAGATGGAAAAGCATACGGAACTGCTTCAATTCAGGAAAATTGGGTGATATGATATTTGCTGAGTGAGGAGAAAAACGGGAGAATTATAAATTAGATTGTTCGAACATTGACATTTCATGAAAGAACCCAAGCAACAACCTACCTCTTAATGTAGCAGTGGATTACGGCCTAATCATTTCATTTGCCTTTCGTTTTTCCTAAGAATTCTTTTATTGAAGAGTCGATAGGAGGAAAAAGACAGAGATCTGCAATTTATTTCTGTGCGGGGAGAAAAAATTAGGAGATATTGTGATGCGAGATACTAACTTTCTTTTTTTCATACACTTTAAATACATACAGGAAAGAAATAATTTTTATAGTAAAAAAAAGGGGCTTGTAAGATGAATCTCAAATTCAAACATTGCCTTGCTTTTTACGATGAAACTACTAAGAGCACGAGGAGATACTATGAGAAAACTGCCTCAGGAAACTTATCTTTCTCTATATCTTACATACAATTAATTTTAGCACTTAAGCGTAATAATTAACTTAATAATAATAATAAAAGTACATATTTAAATCAGGATAATGTTACAGAATTATTTACAATGATACCCCTTCTCCTTGCAATGATTAGCTTCATCCATAGCTTATCAAATCTTTTACATTTTTTTGTTTTTTTTTGTTTGTTTTTTTTTTAACTTATTTTTTTTCATAAACTTAATACAACAGTAGAATGCTAAAAATTTTCAATTAATGTAAGTTTTTCTTGCTCTAAAAATGTTCTCAAGGATCCCACTTTATTTGAGGTGTATGTTTGTGACAAGACCTTGAACAGTGAATTGACAAAGGAGACACAGTTGAGGACTTCTTAATACACTGATTTAGTGGCTATGTCATAGCTTTATATCGCAGTTGTGATGGTTCAAATGTGAAAAGACACCTAATGTTTGTGCAATGGTGATAAAATGCGTCTGAGTGTTTCTTGCAATCAAAATTTTTTGAGTTCAATGATCGTAAATTTATTCATAACTCATTAACAGAATTATGGTGAATTAACACAGTTCACTAAAACAGAAATTAGACATGAGGTTATGTCTTACTGTTTTGGTTTGAACCATAACAAATCAATTATACAATGTATCATAATTGCAGCAAATCGATAAGTTGCATATTGCAAGAGCGGCATACCAACTAAATCAGTCTATTGAAGAAAAGTGGAACTTACAAGATACATAACACAATCTATTCCCAGAGAAATTTCATGGATAATGAGAGCCTTTTTCAAAGGATTTTTGAGGGCAATAGAGACCTAATCCATCTGATTGATTTTTTATTTTTATTGTAAAACAAAAACCTTTTCATTTTAGATTCAGATGGGAAACTAATTTTAGTGTGAGAATAATCAGAAAGTTTAAGAGTCTTAACGAAGATCGACAATTGCACTGTCAGTAAAGCATACAATTTTTCTGCTTTTTTTTCCTTAGAATGGAAAGGAGAATTTTTGCACTGGATCAAAAAAAAGTTTGGCAATGCTACTGACGATTTCAAAATGTACTTTATCATTTGTGTACTTTTTTCAGCTAGATAAGTTGCATGAAAAATGGAGGAAAATTTGTTTGCGCACTGCTCCCAAATATCTTGCAAGAAATGTGGGTAATCTGCATTTTTAGCCCTCTACTGTAGAGACTAAAAACTAATATAATGCAATGATCTTCGCAATAGTTAACATAGTAATAACAACAACAATAACAAGAAAAAGAGGGATGTATTACATTTGAAGTAATATTAACGATAGTAAACATGATGGTAACATGATTAGCACAAGAGGGAGAATGTTTCCAACTCAGTTTTCTATTTTATTTCCTTTTATCCTTTTAAATTATTTTGTATACCTACATTTATTTACAAAAACTTGCGTCCACTGGGTGAACTCAAAAATAATAAACAGAAAATGTTTGAGATTGGCTACTACAGTATTTTACTTCAAGGTACAGATTTTTAAAAAGATCTTTCCAGAGGGTAAAAAAGTTTGCAGGAGCACCTGGATATTTCATGATCCTTGTGAGTTCCAAGCACACTTTCTGAGTTATTAAGGTTCACCATGAGTTCCTGATTCAGATGACTCAGAGATTGTGGTCTCTTTCATACCTCTGCGCTTAAGTGTTTCAAATTAAATGATCCACTTTGATTGCGACAAAAAGTACATCATTCTAACTTTTGCATTCAGGCTGAAGCTCCCCCAAAAAGAGAAAAGCATCCTTCTGTTTTGAAAATCTAGCCTTCTGGATTGGACCAAAATTCTAATTGAGTCTCTAGTGTTGAAGCCACCATTTTGTAAACTGAGCTTTGGAGCTTTCTTTACAACAACGATCAAGAAATACATCAGAATTCAAAGATGGTTTACAGAGATTTTTAGAAATATCATCTACAGCTGACTACTTTTAAAAATTGAGTAACAGGTCACCAAGTGAGAAGATAAAAACAGATCAAGTCAAGTAAAAGAGCTGAAACGCGATAAATGGAAGAAAAAACGATTTGTATGATTCGAAAGAACGACAATAAAAAAACTGAAAAAACAAAAACCGTTTTTTTGGAAGGAATCGAAATATTTAATCAAGTTTTTTTTTGTTTTTATTCTTCTTTCTTTCTTTAGAGATGCTATATCTAGACAGCCAACCTTGAGGCATTAGATTCGAATCAGATCATTAGTTGCAAAAGAAATGAAATATACATATAAAAAGGACATTGTTTGAGAGAGCAATGAAAGTAAACAAAGCAACGGACTGGCAATCAGCTGCGCATTTTTGGTCTGCTAACGAATCACTGACAAAAGAATATAAATCGCATACAACAAACTTTACAGATTTATTCTTGCAATTTATTTCTGATAACTACCATTTTATATGAGCCGCAAAAAGTCTACTCAACCATTGAGACAATCAATTTAGAGTTTAAAGCAAACTGATTTGGGATATGAGTGGCCATGGAAGTTATCTCAAAAGCCAGGAAGGTGTAAACAGCAAGCCAAGATAGATTGAAGCTTACATTTTACTGATAAATAATTGTGTACAAATGGTGCATGCAAAAATGACTTCTTTAATCAGATACATAAAATATTCTAAATGTTTGATTTTTTATTTTTTTTTTTTTTTTTTACATTAGAAATAATATCATAATTGATTTTGTGAAGCTGTCAGCAGCCATTCTGAATACAAACCACAGCGTACCATAACAGAACCCAGTTTCTCGACCTAAAGGAACAGAGGAAAGACAATTTAGCTTGGGGTTCAGTGTGCAATGAAGGTCAACAATGGACCACTACACAAAGTAAGAAATTAAGCACTACAGCACAAATTTTCTCTTCAAAATTTCACGCAGAACTTGTTAACCTTCAAAAACTTTTAAATTAACTCATGAGAAAGAAATGAACTTTCGTCGTTTATATTAAAACCCCCCAGCCTCCCGTGGTGTAGTGGTTGTAGCGCTAGCTCTATGATCGGAAGGTCTCAGGTTCGATTCTCGGCCAGGCGATCCGAGTTTGATGGTCTCAAACAATGGTTGCCGGGGACTGGTTGTTCAGTGGGGACGGAGGTTGGTTGGGATTAAAAAACGCAGGATTAGCCCTTGTGGGCTATTTGAAGTGGTAAAAAAAAATCGGTAATTTCAAACTTTCAGCTCGCGAAAAAAACCATAATAAAGGTATGCCAAATCAGGAATTGAGATCAACCAGTACATTAGGTGAATAACTAGAATTTGGTTTCACACACATTTCTTTCCTCTTCTGATACAAGGTATTTTTTACTTTTTCAAAAATTAAGTTAGTGCACAGGAAAGTTCTTTCATCGTAAAATACACCAGAATTGTTTCAGTGCTCCATTTGACTTGAGACTTGATCATGATTTTCCTGTAAGCGGGAAGTGTGAATTAATTTTAAAAAAAAATTAACGATCTGACTCACGGGTTGAATTTAGAAAGTTTTCATGCATCGATTGTATTTAACAAAAAATTTTGATAAGGAAACATATATATAGTCATATGTATAGGGCTTCTTAATTTCATACTGTGTCTAATAGTCAATTCACAAGATGACTGAAATTTTTTAATTATTGAAATGCTTTGTGTCGGATTTGCTTGAACCTCAACTTGTAGTTACAGGCATTATTAGAAACACTCATAAAAAGATCATTAAAAGCCTCTCATATCAAAATTCGCGGGTTCTCTCAAGCTTTCCTTGCCTCTTAAGAAATTTCATTTGTTAATAAAGTCTCTTTTACGTGCAATTTCAATATCTTAAAATTATTATTTTTTTTTGTTTTTGTTTTACTTGGTGATGTAAAACAGAAAATTTTTGCTGTTATCAAATAACACTTCAATTCATGAAAGTAACTTTTTTTCATTTACATTTCTTATTTTTTTCTGTTTGTTCATTTTAAATGAATACAACACATTTTGTTTTCTTGTGCAAAAAGTTAGCTAACTAGAGAGGATGAAGATTGATGATGAATTTACCTGGGATGTAAATAAAGACAATTCATTTCAACAACTCGTGCGCTCTCTGATTTGCTACCGATATCCTTGTTTCATTGGATTCTCCCTGTAAAAAAACAAAATATTGAGCATGAGTTTGCATAAAAATTACAATATATTGCAGCATATATAGCGGTCAAATGTTGTGGAATGCAATTTTTACACCTTTGTATATCTCTTGTTTGGTTTTGTTGGTCCAAAAATTTTAAGCTGATGGTTGTTTTGTGATATGCTTCATTTAAATGTTTTTTAAGCCTCTATTATATTTCATCCTTAGGGTGGTATGTATATTGTGAAATGCGAGAATTGATCACTTTTATGATCTTGTAGGCCATATAAGGATTTCTTTTAGGCGTTGGAAGTTTATTGGGCTTAGCTCATTGAGCTAAAATTAATGAAAAAAAGGTCATTTTTAACACTCCAATTAATGCTTAAAGCATACATTTTAGGTGCTCTGGATGAAATAATCGTAACTTCTCGGCGGAATTTGCTGATGTTCTTGTCTGGCACAGTGAGGAAATTAAAATGAGAGAAAGAGACATTACCTTGCGGTTAATACGATCAATTTGCCTATTCTGGTTTTCAAGTTCAGATCCCATATCAATTGCCATGTTTCGAAGATTTCCAATCATTGTGTTCACTTGACCCATATTTTCTTCCATTTCATTCTCCCTGTCATCATTAGTAATCCTGGAAAAGACACAATAATCCACATGATGTTCAGCACCTTTTTTCTTCTTAACTACAATGACTGACTTCTGGCTTTTCAAAAAATGTCTTGCAAAGCCCCAAGAAATTTGATCTGGATGTCAAAAATCCTATGACCTAAGAACTCTCCTCAAACTTTACTAAGAAAATTAAACGCAAGACACTTCTTTTACAAAATGACCAGGTTATCCATTAGGTAACCGAATGTGCTTCTCATTCTCAAATTAAGTACAAATTTTCCTATGATTTCATAAAACACAAGTTTTTTGCAAAAGCTTTCACTCGATCAAATTTTACCAAGAGTGTGCTTGCATGAAGGCTTGATGGCTTAAAAGACCTGAAAGAATGTACTCTCCAGTTCAAATTGATACTTAATGCAGTACTTCTTAGCATAATTTTTCCTTGTGAACAAAACATACTGAAGTACTTACTTTGCGATATAACCACCTTGAGGTCCAAGGCCATTTCTCTCATCCATTACCCTTTGTGGCTGATTATTAACAACTTTGCCATCATCGTTTCCTTTCCAGGTTCCTTCGTCTTCTTTGAAAGATGCTGACCTGGAAAAAGAAAGAGGTAAATTTGAAACTGGTGAAAGGAGATTTCCCAGGATTTCGTTCAGGAGAGGTTTAGCCATGATGGGAAATTCAGCACCACAATAATACACATTTTCTAACCAGATTTCACATAGAACACCATTGATGCATTGAAAATTTCTGAATTCAATTCATAAGTGAAGAATTAGCTTTTCATGTTCTTCATCATATAAATTACTCTACACGAAAAACACCAAAAGCCACTCCATGTGAATCATGCAAGTAGACCTAAACGTCATTTCATTGACGGATCGAATACCTCTTAAATCGATTACCTGCCCTTAATCCAAATAGGATTCAATAGGTCTAGTATTATATAAAAACTAGTATTCTATAAAAATTTTTACCTTTTTTTACATTGTAAAACCAGTATTTTCTTGAAATACAGCCCTGAAAACATAATATATTGGCAAACCACGGAGCGAAGGCAGAAAAGTCTACTCTACAGCCTGTCATTCCCTGCTTTATCCTATGTTTCTTAGTTTGGACCGGAATTTTAGCTATTCTATTCACAAATCACCCTTTAGAGGTGGTATAGTGAACAGAATTTCCATTATATTAGGTAAGTACACAAGAAAGTTTTGCGGAATGTAGAGGCAACATTGCTATAATTTAATTGGAGCTATACTACGCAGGACTTCCATAACGGTGTTGCAGGCGATATTGTTGCTATCTTACTCCAGGAGTAGAACATAGGTCCTAACAGGTAGAAAACCAAGTGAAAGGAGAATTAAAATGTAAAGACATGATTAACGAAACTTCAGTTTTCTAATTTTGACGGGACAAACATTTCATCACAAAGAGAACATTTTTTCTAAAATCATACAATTGTATTAGGCAAATTAAGAATAAAGAACTGTGAAGCTGAAAAAGAAAAGAGACTTACTTGTTACACGGCAGAACACAAAGCCCACAACATTTTTCCATGCCTGTGAGATTTTTTTCAGCCTCCCGCATGTCTGCGTTGATCTGGTCCATTCCTTCCTCAATTCGATCCAGTTGTTCTGAAATAGGGGGTTACATAAAAGTTAATTTTTTTCAATTTACATTAGAAATGCCTACCTATAAAAAAGAGTGACCTCGCAATAATCGAGGGTAAACCCTTTGTTTTAACTCTTGTAAACTCTTTAATTTCATACTGGCTTGGAGTTTCAAATTTAACTTGCTTGACTCCATAATACTATGATCTAATGGATGTTAGTTAGATGTTAAATGGTTTGAGAATACCAAATAATAGACGGAAAAAAAGGAAGCTGATATTAGCGCACCAAAAATGAAATTGCTTGGTTGCGAGAAATCAAAGTATCTCTTTTCGGCACATCTAAAATAAATTTATCCCCAAAAAACCGACAACTTTTTTTCTAAACTTTCTAAAAATGGAACGTCAGAGCTAGCATAAAAGAAAAATTTGGCTTGTGTACAGTTAGCAATGCATTATACTGGCTCTTTTTTCCTCTAAGAAATTGCAAACAACAGCTCAAGACAAAAAAGTTGATGGCAAAATTGTAGCAAATGTTCCTGACGAATGGCATGGAAAAAAAAAATGAAAAAAATAAAAATAAAAGTGATTGATTTTTTCAATAAGAAAGAAAATTCCTACCTGACTATTAATAAATTAATCATTTGAACAACACTAAATACTTCAAGAGTAATTATTATGTGAACGAATCATTAACATCGATGTTTTTTTTATTTTTGTTTATTTTTTGGAAATTTAACTTTGAACCTAATTATTTGGTTATTATTTAAATTTGTGGTTTAAAAATTATGGGAGAGGAGGACAAGGGACAACGTTAAATACAACACCTTTAATTTAAAAAAGTAACGTTTACCTACTTGAAAATACAATATTACTTACAATGCAAGAGTCGTTGATTAATAAAGTCATTGCGAATCGCATTTTCTAAAACAGGCGAGGGCAAGGGCATTTGAGAGATTTTGGATTTTATTCATGTCATTGATTTTTGTGTGAGATTTCAGTGATCGACATGCGTTGAGGTGGACTTAAAAAAAGGCAGACAACCTGCGTTTTCGCTTGAAAAAAGGAAGCTATCTAGTAAACTTGATGCGAAAAATAAAGATAAATGATGAAAAGCTGAAATGAGGGGTTCGGAGGATAAGGCGCATAAGTGCAGTTTCTGCTATTTCAAGAAATACGTATTTACAGTTTCAAAATTACCGGCGCCTCATGGCAGAAAGGAAGTTTAAACTCACTTTTTGGTGCTTTAAAGTTGGATTTTAGTTGCGACTTTTTCACAGAATATACTTTCAAACTAATTTCAGTGGAGTTCACGAATACCTCAATTTGTTCAAAAACTACCTTTAGCCCCTAGTCCTCCAAGCCCCTCAAATGAGCATAAAAATGTATACTTGCTTCGATTTACCAACAAATTTTAACCGATACTTCATTGAATTTCAGCCGGCTGAAACCATTTGAGGTTTTTCTAATGTCTTCTTCAATTTTTTGTACATTACATTCTGTTCAAATACTACATTAAACGTTTTTCATGACGCAAAGCCTAGTGCACGGATATCATAATGTGTATCGCGTCAACCGGTGAGAACCACTGCAAAAACCGCAACACTATTACACTCTGGTGTAATCATACTAACTGTCAAGTGTAACTTCATGCAACACCTGCTCAAGGTGTTTGCAGTCTCTAATAATTATGTTTGTGACACGAGAAATCTGCTTTATTTTTACCTTCTTGATAAAAGAATCACCATTTAAAAGAGAGCTTACTGAGATTTTCGTACAAATAGATAAAATTCTTTTGAAACTTCGAAACTAGGGAATCAAATCGTCTTTGCTCTAAACCACTTGAAGAGCCACGAAACAGCCGTCTTGGCTGTTCCTTTTTTTCAATAACCTCTGTAAGACCATAAAGTATTGTCAAAAGTAAAGCGGCAGCTTTTGCTAGGGTGTACGCCTTTCACTCGCTGGTGGATTCCATTCTCAAGTGCTTACATCTGTGTATATATTTTCTCTCTGTCTTTCCTCCCCTTTTTTCCAAGCTCCGCGACCACGACAGTCAATAAGGGACTAAAATAAACGGTTATCCGTGGGTAAAGATGTGTACTATTTAGAACGCATGCGGAATGTGAGAGACAAGTTCATCAGACAAAAAAAATCAAGAACGGTCGACTACAGAAGATTTCTAGACTAGCTGACAGAATGGACCCTTATTGAACTTTTCCCCACCGTATGGTAATGTTTTCCGCGTCCGAAAAGTGTGAGAGCGTCTTCGTGGTTGAACGAGTGTACTTGATAATTTGTAAGTCGCGCGTGTGCCCTGTGCAGCGATAATTGCGGGCCGATTATTGAAATTGATAGACAAAGCTGTAGACAAAGAAGACAAAAGGGAATTAGAGAGATCCTACTGGTGGAAGCGGGTGGTTGCAATGGACAAAGGAGATAGATAATAGACTAACTCACGGCAACCGATTAGAGACCCTACAGTTGGACTACATTTTGCGATTTGGACCTATAGATTCTAGCCCGGTTTAAAAACAACGTATGTGCCATTAGTTTCCCTATGCACATAAGTGTTTTTTCCAGAAGAGCCAGAATTTATAGTTCCAAATTGCAAAATGCAGTCCAGTTAGTCCATCATCTTCCCTCTTAACCTGCGAGAACCACCAGTTTCAACCGATAGGCTCGCTCCAAACGCCCTACGTCTTCTTTGTCGATCGCTTTGTCTATCAATGTCAATAATCAGCCCGCTGACGAAGTGTACACACATCGAAAGACGAAAACATCCTGGTCGAACATAGTTTTCTGGCCAGGGCTGCTGCTGTCCCCGCTCAGGTATAATTTACTTTCCGAAATCTAAACGGATTGACGTCGACGAAAATCTTTTCGGCAGTAAAGACAGAATGATGAAAATAGTGAATTTGCCTGCGGAAAATACAAAAAAAAAAAAAAAAAAAAAAAAAAAAAAAAAAAAAAAAAAAACTTGACCGTTACTCATGTAAGTAACAGTGGCGAGGCATGAATGATCGATTATCGATATGCCCCTATTGAAGCTACGGTACAGAATCGAATATTAAGGTGTTCGATGCGAACACCCTGTTTACCGATCCTTTCCCATAGGTTTAAATGGCAGATCAATCGATATATCGTAAAGCACGCCACGCCACTGGTTAGTAAGGGGTAATAAGCGACCGGACGAGGCGCAACGTTGAGGATAAAACTCCTAGACGCAACTATTCCTGCTTGATGGATGTCGGTGTTGCATCTCTTAAAAATGAAGGCGCTCGAACTTGGGCGCCGCGTCGACACGTGTGCCTCTCGCAACTCACTGAAGATTACTTTACAAATTAAAGCGTTCCACAAGTCGATAACTTACAGTTTTTTTTCAAAAGTGTTTCAAATTTAGATTTTAAGGGGTGTCATATGGTGGCAGACCCCAAACTCCCCCCCCCCACCCCCATTTAGAGATGCGTTTCTTTGGGTCGATTGTTGATACATTTTGATGAAATGGACATTTATAGAAACAAGTCATAACGCAGGGGATCTGTCTGTGGATCTGGGCTTTGACGCTCCCCCGTACCCGAGTTAGCCGGCAAATTGCTAGAGATAGTCGGCTACCCTTCGACCCCGTAGACTGCCACCTCGGTGACTTTCTCGGGTTTCCTCCTCCCGCCTTTTGGCGGGATAGGCATCCCCTGATGTTGCCGCTCCACTGTGCCTGCGTCCTCGGTCGTTAGCCCACATTCTGTCGCGGCGGCAACGCGGCGACAGATCAAGCGGGATCGTTGACGTGTCTGGTTTCGTGATTCCCGCGACCCCCAGGATCCCGGAATGCGGACCTTGAGTCCGCGCATCCGGCCCTGGTGGTTGGCGGGGGCTGAAAGCGGGCCGGACCGGAGGAGCAAGTCAAATTTGACTAGTGCTTCGGACGGGGTTGGCCGGCCGCGTCCCTCGCTACTCGTAGGGAGGGGCGCTGCGAAGTCTGAGTCCCATGGGTGCAGTGGGTAGGACTCGGAGCGCCGGCGTAACACAGGACTCCTTGGAGTCCTGGCCGGGTGCCACCTGGAATCCCCCACACATCCACGGGAGGTAACCTTTCCGCTTCAGAGGCTCCAGTGCTGACGGACCCCTCGGGGTACGGATTCCCATCCTCAGAGCTGCTGGGAGGTTTAAATCCCTCCTGGCGGGGGTTAGGTACTCCGGAGGCAACGGGGTGCTCCTATGAGGGTGGGGTCCGGCTGGACACTG